AATGCCCTGGCCTCTCTCTGTCTTCCTGTAATGCCCTGGCCTCTCTCTGTCTTCCTGTAATGCCCTGGCCTCTCTCTGTCTTTCTACAATACCATGGCCTCTCTCTCTCTGTCTTTCTGCTCGCTGATAACCCACAGTGCCTCCCATTGGTTGAGCCCAACCACAAGCCAAACTCAATACTATCCAGTCAATTTTGACTCATGATGATCCTATAGAACAGAGTAGAACTACTCCTGTGAGTTTCCAAGACTATAAATTTTTATGGAAGCGGAAAGCCTCATCTTTCTCCCAGCAAGGGCTGGTAGGTTCAAACAGCTGACCATGTGATTAGAACCTCAATGCATAACCCACGACACCATCAGGTCTCCCTGCCATAAGCAAAGGGGACATCTATCTAGTCCTTACTGGTCAGCCTTGAAAGGCCCAGAGAAGGATGGGGAAGGGTAGATAATAAAGAAGGATATCAACCTAAAATGGACATAATTGAGAAAATCAAGGGGATTCATATATGCACTGAATTTCAGATGATTCTGATGAATAGCTGTTAATTTTATTGGATAATAAAGATGTTATATTAAAAAGTTATATAAAGTTTTATATATATAAAGTTATATAAGAAAACATCCCCCTACTGGGCATGTACACAGAAGAGGCAAGAAACAAACCACGGCCAGACATCTGTGCTCCAATGTTCATCGCGGCACAGTTCACAATTGCAAGGAGTTGGAAACAACCCAGATAACCATCAACAGATGAATGGGTCAAAAAACTGAGGTACACACATGTAATGGAGTACTACACATCCCTAAAAAGTAGTGATAAACATATGAAGCACATTGCCGCATGGGAAGAACTGGAGGCAATCATGCTAAGCGAAGTAAGTCAAGCACAAAAGGACAAGTACAACATGAGTCTGCTGAGGTAAGCTTAAAAAAAAAGTGCAAAAGGGGCACAGGGAAAAAACTACTGTATACAAATATTCCTGGGGCGAGGACCAGATAGTATGGCAGGGACCAGACCAAATCCAGGGATACATATGATAGCCAACTGAAGAGGAGGGAGAAAACGTAAAAAAAGAAATGGGTAGCGGGGGAACAGGGCACAAACCCACCCAAGGGGAGGGTATTGTCTATATCTCCACAGGGAAAGAGGGACCAGACTTCAACCCGGTGCTCCAAGATGGGAATGCATGAAGCAGGGAACCAGTAGAGAGGTCTGAGGGGCCAGCCCCAATCCCAACTACGTGGACAGCCACCCCTCCCCACAGAAGAATTTACTCCAGAGGACAGCACTGAAGCTACAGCTCAGGGAGAGGGACATGTCTGATCAGAGCACACGGGAGCAAATGAAGGGGGGGGGGGAGAGAGTGGAGCACACCCTGGCCCACCAAGCCTTGAGCATGATATTCCTGCTTAGAGCAGCCAATGCACAGAGAGGACCATATGGCTGGCCCCAGTATGAGCCATGACGTCCCTCACCGACCCATACCCCTACAGGGGACAACACTGGAGACACAGAGTGGGAATTGCGCCTGATCTGACCCCACCACATCGAGGCAAAACACTAAGGGGATGCAACAGTACAGCAAGGGGAGCAGAGCAAGGAAGTCCTCAGGGAATACCAAAAATAGACTTTGAGGCCAGGGTGTGGCACCCAATCAGACTCGACTGGAAAACACTCCTAAAGGTCAACAAACAGACCTTAGACTATTTACAGGCTTTTCTCTTTTTTTATCATTGGTTATTGTTGTTGTTTTCTTTTCTTTTCTTTTGTTGCATTTGCTCTGTCTTATTTTTGTTCATATTATTATCTCTGCAGGTCTGTCCAGATAAAATAGGTGGGATAAACAATCTGGAGGAGAAAACAACGGGACCGAGGGTTGGTGGGGGGGGACATGAAAAAGGGGGAGGTGGGGAAAAGGAAGTGGTGTTAACAAACCCAGGGACAAGGGAACAAGTGATTC